AAAATATGAATTCAGGAGGTTGAAAGACCATGTCAATTTCTCGTCATGCGATTTCATTGTGAAGAAACTGTGTGGATATACCTGGGTAAGGTTGATTATGCAAAATGCAAATGCAAACGTTGAGCGAAATATTGGCCGGCACGATTTTCAAATTTCAGCACACTAAATTTCAACTGATTTCAAATTTGGCCCCCCCCCCCTCAAGAAATCCTTGATACGCGCCTGGTTTATGACACCATGTGACCTCCTATGTCTGAGTTAGATTATGCAGGCAGTTTTATTGCAAGTGATAGGATGTGATCAAATTATATGATCCCATGCAATTGGCTGACACTAAATGGAGATATTATCACTCAGGTAAAAAAATAAAAATAAGCCTTTTTTTTTTTCAATTGGTAACATGTCTCATTCGCCGTTTTTCTTCCATTTCGTTCCACCTCAGGCTTTTTATTAGTTACATATTTTAATTCTCAATAACTCCTACTAGAGGAATTTTTAATAGTATTGTCATTTATATTATTATTATATATTTACATTATTATTATACATGGTAACGCGATTTACTACTGTGAGCTTTTCAGAAGCTGGTTTAGGGATTATAATCTAGGTACAATTAAAACACACATGCTGCAACTACTTCTCATCACACTTCGAATATGACGTCATTTAAAGAGCAATTCTTTTCAGGAGACACTACTACTGCCATATTCTTCCAAATTGGCATAAAAAAGTGAGAAATCTCACAAAACATTTGTTTCACCTCTACCAGAAAAAAATCCTTCTCTTTAAATTGATGAATGTTACAACTTTCCGGAAATGATAAACAATATCCTCTATACATAGATATTAGTTCCATCGTACTACCCGCACATTTACTCGTACATAATATGTACCGGTAAATGACCATGATGTTTTGCAACTTTCCATTGTACCAGTCCAGTATCATTAAAGTGAAGGTTGCAAAGATTATTAGTAATATATTTTATTTTTGCATACTCATGTGAAAGAAAACATCATATGATTTGAGTAGGTTTGATTTTCAAAACTCTCATATTTGAACTATAATTACAAACAGTGATCGCTTAAACCTGGTAATTCTTGTCCCATTGGAAAAGTCCCATGTGAAATAAACATTTCATAGATAAAAGAATGCGGTAGTAATATCATTTAGCAAGATATTTACCTGCACTTGCTACTCTCCACCCAGGTGTTAAATGGGTACCCGGTAGGATGCGAAAGTTCATGTGGTTGGATGAGCAAGTGTGCGCTTGTAAAATGGCGACTGGCTGGAATGCTCCCCAGGGAGTGGAAAATATGCATGCATTGTGTGCGGGTGAGCCTGAATCCGATGACCGGGGTAACACTATATCTGTAAAACGCTTTGGTACATCGTTGTATCGATGTATTGGGCGCTATTTAAAAGCGGAATATTATTATTAAGAAGGTCAGAGATAAAATATCAAAAAAATAAGATTGCCAGAGGTAATTTTTTTTATCTGTGATAATTGTACCTTTGACATTATTATTAGGGTGATCACACTGCCTGTGTACACAGTCTGCCCCACGAACACACACACACACACACACACACACAACAGCAGTCAGTTGGCAGAAATAGCAATTTTTGTAAATTTATTTAAAACAAAACTAAACAATATTTTTAAATTTTTATTTCACATATATTTCAAGCATACCTTTAACTACAATTCTGTGTAGTTTCATTGTTATAGGCATGTGGGATATATGTTAAATTATTTAATTAGAATATTGTCTTTTCAGCAATGTCTGACATGGCCCGCTGATCGCCCATTGACTCGCGCTGCTATTCTGCGTGGTGAAAATGCACCTCAATGTATAAAATTTCCCTACAAAAATGCAATATCCTCATGTGTTTCACTCATTAAATCAATTTGTTATTTACACTCTTGGTAGCCACAACTGTACTGGGATCACCAAACTTTTTGTTACTCTAAAATTCAGTCCCTGTGTAATGTTATGGCATGTTGAATGGTTTCTCGGAAAATCGTCATAAATCCTCAAATCTGACATCTTTTAAATAGCCAAATATACTGTGATGTAGCTGAAAGTCGACAAATTCTTATCATATGATCGGTTTTTCTGAATAATTTGTGAAACATATGAGGAAATAGCTGTGACGGTGATTAATTATTTTCACAACTTTTTCATATCTGCAGATTCGCAAAAATGGCAAAAATGACTTATGTTGTTGGCTTCAGAATCCGTTTTTTAAACGGTAATAGATATATGAATTTTTCTTTTTTGTATTTTTTACCACAAAGATGATATTTTAGTGTCTGATAATTTAATGTATTATTTGTTTTCAAGAAAGTGATGAATTAAGTTGTCAACTTTGTCGAATTTTGCCATTTTTGCCAATTTGACCATTTCTGGCAGGTTTTTCGGTAATTTTGCGATATAAAAAAAAATGGTATAAAATCACAACGCATTGACCGATTTCAATTCCGTTTTTTGTTTTTTGAAGCATTCATAAAGCTTGATCATTTGCAACCATCAAATAACATGTGTTTGTTGTAATTATTTTTGGTGTGCTATACCTATTAATTATTTCTCACTTCTTAAAGATAACATTGAGTTCTGGTCATGCGATTGCATTGTAAAAGAAAAGGTGTGGAATGGATCAGAAAAAGTTGATCATGTAGCATGTAAGTATTGGTGTGTACTGCAAGGTTCTGGAGTCATCAAAATCATAATAAATTTGGCCGAGTCTTGGTAAAGTAACAAGCACTGTACACAGAAAGATGTATATGGAACTTCACAAATGGTGTCGGTGCTACTTACCTTGCTTTCCTTATCTTTCTATACTCATTACTCAGCCAGTATACATTTTCTTCCAAAATTGTTTGGCAAATGACATTTATTTGTAATCTTTAACATTCAGTGTAAGTTTCGTTTGATTCTATGAGAATTCATTTTCTTTTTTTACCATGCAGAACTCAAGTTTATCTTTAATATACACAAAACAAAGATAAATGTACTATTGTATTTTCATTTCTCAATATCATGCCGATACTAAATCAGTTGTTTTTATTACGATAACTTCGTATAATATTCTCTAAATCATTGTTAATGTTATGAAGCTATGTTAAGAAATTAAGGTTGTATGTTACATCCTGTTTGAATTAGTTCACAGAAACACTTAACTAAAACTGTACCTTAGAACAGCGAGATCATATTGAATTTTGTCCCCGGGCTTTTGAAATATATTCTGTGAATGTCTAATGTGGCAGTTAGTGAACATAGGTCACGCTGACAATTCGATTCGATTCGGTGTACATGTAGTTTCATACTTGCAAATTCAATTAACACAAAACAATGAAAACGAAAATAAACAAAAGTAACGTAAGAACAGGCTAGTAATTAATGGATTAGTGCATCCATGGGCATAGAGCATTGAGTGTCATACCCATTAAAGTGACTCGATAACATTGCCTCAGATTCTGAAACAAAATCCTGGATTTAGCTCATGCTGCAATCATAATTATAAACCTTTAGGTCAGTCAGGAACCCCATCACTTTTACAAGCCGATCGCCTAGCTGTTGGAAATTGAAATCAAATTTTGCGTTTTCCTAACGGTTTTTATAACACTACAGTCTATTGGGGGAAATGAATATGGTACAACCGGTCACTCTAAGATTGTTTTACTTCTTAGCGGCACTTCATGATCATTTTGAAGCACAAGTTTTATTAGGGTTCAATATTACACCATATCACAGACACTGATAACACGTAGGGCCATGCATCTCGGATGTAGCATTGTTAAACGATACTAGCATCAATAGGGGGGGGGGGGGGGAGGGGTCACTTCTTTACAAAGTGCATGACCACTGATTACGGGATCTTTATAACTCTTAAAACCAGATACACATAAACACAACTCCTTATTAATCTATAACAATAATAAAGGAAAGCAGCTATAATACTCCAATGGTTTAGTGTACAAATTCAGCTGTTAAGGCCCGGTCACACAGCCTTTCGCGTCTGTATCGCGGGTAAAATTTCGCGATTTTTTTTTACCCAAGGTTGCCCGTGGTGGAAAATGTGCAAAATTGGCTTACCCGCGGTTTACCCGTGGTATGCCCGCGGAACAGACGCCGGCGACTGTTCCGCGTCCTTATCGCGGGTGAAGCGCGGCGGTACCGCGGCCTACCACGCTTACACGCGGTACACACGCTAATGCACGTGATAACAACGCGGTACAGACGCGGAACAAACGTGCTATGACCGTGCTCCACCCGCGATTACCCGCTAAAATTTCGCGTCCAATTCCGCGTGTAACCACGTCTTAACCGCGGCCGTAGCACGTCCTAGCACGTTCGTTCCGCGTCTGTACCGCGTCTTTACCGCGTGTGTACCACGTGTACCACGTGTACCGCCCGCGATTACCCGCGGTTTAAATTTTTGGGCAGCCCAAAACTTTTTCGCGAGGTCAACCGCGTGTGAATTTCTTACCGCGTGTAACGACGGGTAAAGTACGGCTGTATCGCGTCTTTATCGCGACCTCAAAGCGTCCAACAGCGTCTGCTTCACGGGCAGAAATTTTTGGCCGTGATTCGGCCGCGATACGCCCGTGGAGGGCTGTGTGACCGGGCCTTTAGGCCATACAGAGATGCAAACCATTGTAGACAGGCGAAATATATTGTGACTTAAAATACCTCTATTAAAAAGTAAATAAATCGATCTTCAAAAAGTGTCACAGCCTGAGAAATTGCGATATTTACTGCATTATGTACACTTTATCAAATAACTAGTATAATAATGTATATTTGTTTATATGTCGATAGTATCGAGGAATTATATATAGTGGTCGGCGCTATCTTTTCTACCCATAAGTCGGCGCCGGTTTAGTCTACCTAATCCAGGGTCAAGGGTACGTATCATCGATACCATCTAGCTATAATCGGCTTGACGACACCATGCATGAACTGTTGTTTACCCATAATGTCCTCAGCAATGTATTTTACCCATGAGTCGATCCAGATTTGGGCCTGGACGGGTTTAACGATACATAATTAGTATGCAGATTGTCACCCATGTCATGTATGCATCGTCAGCAATGTTATCTATACATCACTGGGCAATCACAGAGTATAGTTCCATTGATGGACTTGTTTTAGTGGATAAACGGGAGGGCATTGCCCCTTGTGCCCCGTAATTTACTACTTTAGAATAGTCGAATACGAATTGACTCTTTTAATATAGTCCAACTCTTTTCTCTGAACGATTTCTTCATGGACATGTAAACAATAGTATTCCAAAAGCTGTTCAAAGATGCCATGATAACACACTAAGTGCCTACCCAGGGAGGGTAAGGTATTCCCGTTAAGGCAACGTAGCATACGGAAATTGAATGATGGAGCCCAGGAAAGGAAAAATGCAAAAGTGATTATGAAAGGCATCTTGAGTGACCTCAGAAGACTGAAGATGATTTGAATCGTTGAACCTCCGGGTTCCAGTGCGTTGTTCACAGGGTGTGCATGTTGGGCACATCTGGGATGTCCTTCCGGAGTCATTGCAGCTGCAACAGGTGCAACCTTGGCACGGCGTATTTGGCCACTCGCCTTCAACGATATACAGATGATTCTGCAATACATTAAGAAGACAATATTAGCAGGTAGCCATACCCCTAAGATCATAATCACCAAAACGTACGGAGCAAAATCGATATTTGAGAAGTCAGCCATACAGAAGGCTATGGTACCGGGCGAATAGATGATATCCCACGAGGATGGTGAAACACCGATGCCGATTACAATAATTCCCGTTAACGAAACACAGGCGATTAGAATCTGAACTTGGGCTTTTCGAGGGATGATCCAGGCGGGATACCGGAGCAGTTTGGTGATGGACAAGAACCGATCAACATGGAGGAGGACGAGGATGCAGACAGAACTGGTCGGAGCCACAATGTTCAGTATGCCCGTGGTGATACATAGAGGACGAACGAACTCCGTTTCGTCAACGACATCGAATACGACGGTGATTAATGTAATAATGCCTACTACAAGGTCAATTAGACTCAGTGCTAAGTGGAAGATCTTGCTAACTTCGTTGATATCTGACAGTTTTGGTAGGACCATCAGGTTCAGAGTGTTCCCAAGAATTATAAGCAAAGAAATCGCGACTTTTAGAAGGATTGCCAAAATGCTGATCGAATGTTCCCTCCGCGAATCCTCCGTGGTGTTTATTCTATTCAGTCCTTCCATCCTACTCCATGTGTGCTAGAGCTGTTCCAATGAATATCAAAGATGAATTCAACAATAAATTCATTTTGTCAAAGTGAAAACCAGGAGCAGCGTCGTTCACGTAATCACTCTCTTCCAACCAATTTTACTCATTCAACTGGACATCTCCGGTTCACCCTCTGTCATTCTGAGACCAAGAGCGAATTGACAGAACTAAACAAATGATTCCCTCAATCAAATATGAGCTTTTGCGCAGATCTGGGTCATTTCCAATTAATAAACAATACCCATCACGTGTATCATTTTTTGAAGTTTCATTTCATTCCAGAATTATCCATTTTTTTCATCCCGTATACTTTTAACGCCGTGGAAAAGAAAGAACACGATTCGATTCATTCGAAAAGATACGACCGGACATAATACGGGTCAATTACTCTGCAAATTTTAATATCTAAAGACTTTCAAACAGTGAATTCATGGCAACCAGATCGCTTGATTGTAATTAAATGAAATGTCTGTCACGCCAGGACGCTAGAACGATCAAATTATAACGTTTAGGGGAGATTAATGCAAACAAATAACAATCGGTGAGCTGCCTTTAACCATGGTGACACATGACACCTTTTCTTGCTTCCAATCTTGGGATTTCTGGAGGAAGCTCTTCTTCCAGTCTTATATCGGAAATGTATAAAATATTGACACCGACTTGGTCTGAACTGTCATAGCAGCTTGAATATTTATTTATTTTATTTAATTATTTATGTATGTTCACAATTTCACAATTCATTGAAGTTAAAATCACATGAAAAATTAATATAATATAACAAATCATTTTCAATTTTACAATCCTTTTGAATTAACTTCACGTGAAAAAGAATATAACATTGTTTTATCAAAGACAAGTTGCAATTAATATACAGTTTGAAGAATGAACACACAAAGGTGATGAAACATAAGCAAATAGAGCTTGAATCGTTACAACACCTTTCAAATATATGATATATGACAAATAAAATTCCTAAAGTTTTGTAGTGAACTATTTACACTATTTACAAAGTTAAAAAAAGAAAGGAAAAAAGAATTCCGTTAAGCCTAGTAACAAAATTATGTTAGATTTATTTAGAACTGATATATAGATTATAATGTAAGTAATATCTTACATCTGTGAAATGATAATACATTTGAGTGCTCTTTTAAAGCAGTTTGTTGATTTTATATTTCGAATATCATTAGGTAAAGAATTCCACACATCTGGACCTCTGTGTCTGACTGATTTCTGGGCTAACGTAGTGTGAGGATTGACCACATGTAAATTTGATGACTGCCTTGTTGAATACGAATGTGCCATGTTATTAGGTTGGAACATTGAAGATAATGACGTAGGTAATAATTAGATATTAAAACGGAACATAAATATGGCAATTTGGAGGAAGTTAATATCATCAACCCTTAAAGCATTTCAGTTTAACAAATAGTGGGGTAGCATGGTCACGATAACCAGCTCGGGTACATATGCGTACAGCTTTCTTTTGCAGAAGAAGAATATTATTAGTCACACACTTGGATGTTGCCCACAAAATATTACATTAAGAGATGTGTGGTAAAATTAGACTATTATAAAGCATAAGTAATATTCTATCAGAAACAAAACATTTTATTCTATACAGTACGCCAATATTTCTGGAGATTGGTGTAACAATGTGTTTTACATGGTCGCTCCAGTCAAGTTTTTCATTGATATAGGCACCAAGAAATTTCGTACATGTCTTTCTCTCTAAAGAAATATCATCTAGTTTAACATTAAGAGCAAGGTTGTCATTATATTTTCTACCTCTAAAATGAATATAATTTGTTTTAAGACCATTGATATAAATATATTTGGAGGAAATAACTCTGTCGTAGCAGAAGTTCATTAAAAAAAAAAATCACAAATTTGTTAACAAACGTAGCCCCAAACATGAGAACCTCTATAGTACAAGAGCCGGGGCACTCTGCCCCCACTTTTTCAAGTACCCCAAAGGTGCTTTTATATGTACTGACGAAATCTGCTCTCTTTTACTTCAGATAAGTGCCACTTTTACTTTCTAATAAGTCCCCCTTCTCCCTTCTTATAAGTGCCCCTTTTCACCTTTGATAAGTGCCCCTAATAAAACATGATAAGGTTAAACTTTTTACTTGGACAAGTGCCCCTTAGACTTTGTAATAACTGCCCCTTTCCCCCCCCTTTTCACCTCTGATAAGTGCCCCTTGTCCTTTTTAATAAGTGCCCGTTCCATTCTCATAAGGACCCATTTTCTTTTTGTAATAAGTTTCCCTTTCTCTGTCTTATAAATGCCCATTTTCACCTCTGATAAGTGCCCCAATCGAAATCTGACTAAGAACGAATTGTGTCCCTTTGCGAAAATAATCGTGCTCGTTTTCAACGCTACTAAATGTCCCTTCTCTAGATAAGTAATTTTGATATAAGAGGTGTGCCCCCATCACACAAAAAGTTTGCCCATTTAAACTACCATGACATATTCTACTCAATTACGTAAAGAGACCTTCATCCAGCCTGTCATCTCTTAACCTCTAGAATACCAAGCTAAACAATTGCCCTTTGTTTAAAGCCCCTCTAAAGTGTTGGGAGCTCAAAATTAGCCAAAAATTTGATGGCAAAATTTCACTAAAATTGTGTTACAATGTGACAGAGGATATAATTGAAAACACACTTCTGCAAAGATTTCCCCTTAGACATGTGTTTGAAGACAAATATTGATAAACGTATACTTAATTCGGGTTGTTTGTTGTACGCAAAAAACCTACATTAATAATAATAATAATAATAATAGTACATTTATAAAGCGCAGAAACTATCCAACATTAGGTATATATTCTACTGCGCTACAAGAGTATAGTTCCGTTGATGGACTTGTTTTAGTGGATAAACGGGAGGGCATTGTCCCCTTGTGCCCCGTGATTTACTACTTTAGAATAGTCGAATACGAATGGACTCTTTTAATATAGTCCAACTCTTTTCTCTGAACGATTTCTTCATGGACATGTAAACAATAGTATTCCAAAAGCTGTTCAAAGATGCCATGATGACACACAAAGTGCCTACCCAGGGAGGGTAAGGTATACCCGTTAAGGCAACGTAGCATACGGAAATTGAAAAAGGAGCCCAGGAAAGGAAAAATGCAAAATAGATTATGAGAGGCATCTTGAGTGACCTCAAAAGACTGAAGATGATTTGAATCGTTGAACCTCCGGGTTCCAGTGCGTTGTTCACAGGGTAGTTCTCAGGGTGTGCATGTTGGGCACATCTGGGATGGCCTTCCGGAGCCGTTGCAACTGCAACAGGTGCAACCTTGGCACGGCGTATTTGGCCACTCGCCTTCAACGATATACAGATGATTCTGCAATACATTACGAAGACAATATCAGCAGGCAGCCATACCACCAAGAGCATTATCGCCGCAAAGTACGGAGCAAAATCGACATTTGAGAAGTCAGCCATACAGATGGCTATGGTACCAGGCGAATAGATGATATCCCATGAGGATGGTGAAACACCGATGCCGATTACAACAATTCCCGTTAACGAAACACAGGCGATTAGAATCTGAGCTTGTGCTTTTCGATGGGTGATCCAGGCGGGATACCGGAGCGGTTTGGTGATGGACAGGAATCGATCAATATGGAGGAGAACGAGGATGCAGACAGAACTGGTCGGAGCCACAATGTTCAGTATACCCGTGGTGATACATAGAGGACGAACGAACTCCATTCCGTCAACGACATCGAAGACGACGGTGATTAATGAAACAATGCCTACTACAAGGTCCATTAGACTCAGTGACAAGTGGAAGATTTTGCTAACTTCGTTGATATCTGACAGTTTTGGTAGGACCATCAGGTTCAGAGTGTTCCCAAGAATGATAAGCAAAGAAATCGCGACTTTTAGAAGGATTGCCAAAATGCTGATCGAATGTTCCTCCCGCGAATCCTCCGTGGTGTTTATTGTATTCAGTCCTTCCATCCTACTCCATGTGTGCTAGAGCTGTACCAATGAATATCAAAGATGTATTCAACACTAAATTCATTTTGTTAAAGTGACAACCAGGAGCGGACTCGTTCACGTAATCACTCTCTTCCAAACCAATTTTACTCAGTCAACTGGCCACCTCCGGTTCACCCTCTGTCATTCTGAGACCAAGAGCGAATTGACAAAACTAAACAAATGATTCCCTCAATCACATATGAGCTTTTGCGCAGATCTGGGTCATTTCCAATTAATAAACATTACCCATCACGTGTATCATTGTTTGCAGTTCCATTTAATTCTAGAATTATCCATTTTTTTCATCCCGTATACTTTTAATGCCGTGGAAAAGAAAGAGCACGATTCTATTCATTCGAAAAGATACGACCGGACATAATACGGGTCAATTACTCTGCAAACTTTAATATCTAAAGACTTTCAAACAGTGAATTCATGGCAACCAGATCGCTTGATTGTAATTAGATGAAATGTCTGTCACGAAAGGGTGCTAGAACGATCAAATTATAACGTTTAGGGGAGATTAATGCAAACAAATAACAATCGGTGAGCTGCCTTTAACCATGGTGACACATGACATCTTTTATTGCCTCCACTCTTGGGTTTTCTGGAGGAAGCTCTTCTCCCAGTCTTAATTTGGAATGTATAAAATAATGACACCGACTTGGTTTGAACTGTCATAGCAGCTTGAACATATTTTGAGGAAGTAAGTCTGTCGTAGCAGGAGTTCATTAAAAAAAAAATCAATCACGGATTTGTTAACAAACGTTGCCCCAAACATGAGAACCTTTATAGTACAAGAGCCGGGGCACTCTGCCTCCACTTTTTCAAATAGCCCCAAGGTGCTTTATATGTACTGACGAAATCTGCTCTGTTTTACTTCAGATAAGTGTACATTTCACTTTTTGATAATTCCTCCTTCTCCCTTCTTATAAGTGCCCCTTTATTACCGCTGATAAGTGCCCCTAATAAAACCTGATAAGGTTCACCTTTTTTTACTTGGACATGTGCCCCTTAGAATTTGTAATAACTGCCCCTTTCCACCTCTTATTAGTGCTCCATTTTACCTTTGATGGGTGCCCTTTGTCACCTCTGATAAGTGCCCCTTTTCCTTTTTAATAAGTGCCTGTTCCCTTCTCATAAGGACCCATTTTCTTTTTGTAATAAGTTTCCCTTTCCTTGTCTTATAAATGCCCATTTTCACCTCTGATAAATGCCCCAATCAAAATCTGATATTTCATGAGAACGAATTGTGTCCCTTTTCGAATACAATCGTGCTCGATTTCAACGCCACTAAATGTCCCTCCTCTAGACAAGTAATTTTTATATAAGAAGTGTGCCCCAATCACAGAAAAAGTTTGCCCCTTTAAACTACCATGACATATTCTACTCAATTACGTAAAGAGAATTTCTTCCAACCTGTCATCTTTTAACCTCTATGCCCGTATGAACTTTATAGAATACCAAGCTAAACAATTGCCCTTAGTTTAAAGCCCCTCTAAAGTGTTGGGAGCCCAATATTTGCCCCCAAAACGATGGCAAAATTTCACTTAAATTGTATCACAATGTGAAAGAGGATGTAATTGAAAACACGCTTCTGTAAAGAGTTCCCCCTAAGAAATGTGTTTGAAGACAAATGTTGATGAACGTATACTTAATTCGGGTTTTCTGTTTTGTACGCAGAAACAGGCACGTAGCCACGGGGGGGGGGGGGGGCACGTGCTCCCCACAAATTTCCAAGATCGGTTGAACTTTTTAGACCCCTCCCCAGGACGTCGATCGTTAACATGAATGTGCCCCCCCCCCCCAAAAAAAAAAAAAAAAAAATACCCCAAAGGTGCTTTATATGTACTGACGAAATCTGCTTTCTTTTACTTCAGATAAGTGCCACTTTTACTTTCTAATAAGTCCCCCTTCTCCCTTCTTCACCTCTGATAAGTGCCCCTAATAAAACCTGATAAGGTTCACCTTTTTTTAGTTGTACAGGTGCCCCTTAGACTTTGTTATAACTGCCCCTTCTGCCCCTTTTAACCTCTGATAAGTGCCCCTAATAAAACCTGATGAGGTTCACCTTATTTACTTGGACATGTGCCCCTTAGACTTTGCAATAACTGCCACTTTCACCTCTTAATAGTGCTCCATTTTACATTTGATGGGTGCTCTTTGTCACCTCTGATAAGTGCCCCTTTTTCTTTTTAATAAGTGCCCGTTCACTTCTCATAAGGACCCATTTTCTTTTTGTAATAAGTTTCCCTTTCTCTGTCTTATAAATGCCCATTTTCACCTCTGATAAGTGCCCCTTTTCCTTTTTAATAAGTGCCGTTCACTTCTCATAAGGACCCATTTTCTTTTTGTAATAAGTTTCCCTTTCTCTGTCTTATAAATGCCCATTTTCACCTCTGATAAGTGCCCCAATCGAAATCTGATATTTCAGAACCAATTGTGTCCCTTTTCGAATACAATCGTGCTCGATTTCAAAGCTACTCAACGACCCTTCTCTAGATAAGTAATTTTAAAATAGGAAATGTGCCCCCATCACAAAAAAGTTTGCCCCTTTAAACTACCATGACATATTCTACTCAATTACGTAAAGTGACTTTCATCCAACCTGTCATCTCTTAACTTCTATGAATTTTATAGAATGCCAAGCTAAACAATTGCCCTTTGTTTAAAGCCCCTCTAAAGTGTTGGGAGCCCAAAATTCGCCCAAAATTTGACGGCAAAATTTCACTTAAATTGTATCACAATGCGAAGGAGGATACAATTGAAAACACACTTCTGCAAAGATTTCCCCTAAAAAATGTGTTTGTAGACAAATATTGATGAAAGTATACTTAATTCGGGTTTTCTGTTGTACGCAGAAAACCTACATTCACAGAGTATAGTTCCATTGATGGACTTGTTTTAGTGGATAAACGGGAGGGCATTGTCCCCTTGTGCCCCGTGATTTACTACTTTAGAATAGTCGAATACGAATGGACTCTTTTAATAAGGTCCAACTCTTTTCTCTGAACGATTTCTTCATGGACATGTAAACAATAGTATTCCAAAAGCTGTTCAAAGATGCCATGATGACACACAAAGTGCCTACCCAGGGAGGGTAAGGTATACCCGTTAAGGCAACGTAGCATACGGAAATTGAAGATGGAGCCCAGGAAAGGAAAAATGCAAAAGTGATTATGAAAGGCATCTTGAGTGACCTCAGAAGACTGAAGATGATTTGAATCGTTGAACCTCCGGGTTCCAGTGCGTTGTTCACAGGGTGTGCATGTTGGGCACATCTGGGATGTCCTTCCGGAGCCATTGCAGCTGCAACAGGTGCAACCTTGGCACGGCGTATTTGGCCACTCGCCTTCAACGATATACAGATGATTCTGCAATACATTACGAAGATGATACCAGCAGGCAGCCATACCCCCAAGAGCATTATCGCCGCAAAGTACGGAGCAAAATCGATATTTGTGAAGTCAGCCATACAGACGGCTATGGTACCTGGTGAATAAATGATATCCCACGAGGATGGTGAAACACCGATGCCGATTACAACAATTCCCGTTAACGAAACACAGGCGATAAGAATCTGAACTTGGGCTTTTCGAGGGGTGATCCAGGCGGGATACCGGAGCGGTTTGGTGATGGACAGGAATCGATCAACATGGAGGAGAACGAGGATGCAGACAGAACTGGTCGGAGCCACAATGTTCAGTATGCCCGTGGTGATGCATAGAGGACGAACGAACTCCATTCCGTCAACGACATCGAAGACGACGGTGATTAATGTAACAATGCCTACTACAAGGTCCATGAGACTCAGAGCCAAGTGGAAGATTTTGCTAACTTCGTTGATATCTGACAGCTTTGGTAGGACCATCAGGTTCAGAGTGTTCCCAAGAATGATAAGCAAAGAAATCGCGACTTTTAGAAGGATTGCCAAAATGCTGATCGAATGTTCCTCCCGCGAATCCTCCGTGGTGTTTATTGTATTCAGTCCTTCCATCCTACTCCATGTGTGCTAGAGCTGTTCCAATGAATATCAAAGATGTATTCAACACTAAATTCATTTTGTTAAAGTGACAACCAGGAGCGGACTCGTTCACGTAATCACTCTCTTCCATACCAATTTTACTCAGTCAACTGGACATCTCCGGTTGACCCTCTGTCATTCTGAGACCAAGAGCGATTTGACAGAACCAAACAAATGATTTCCTCGATCACATATGAGCTTTTGAGCAGATCTGGGTCATTTCCAATTAATAAACAATAGCCATCACGTGTATCATTGTTTGCAGTTTCATTTCATTCCAGAATTATCCATTCTTTTTTTCATCCCGTATACTTTTAACATCGTGGAAAAAAACACGATTCGATTCATTCGAAAAGATACGACCGGACATAATACGGGTCAATTACTCTGCAAACTTTACTATCTAAAGCCTTTTAAGCATTGATGCAACCAGATCGCTTGATTGTAATTAGATGAAATGTCTGTCACGCCAGGGTGCTAGAACGGTCAAATTATAACGTTTAGGGGAGATTAATGCAAACAAAGAACAATCGGTGAGCTGCCTATAACCATGGCGACACATGCCATCTTTTATTGCCTCCACTCTTGGGTTTCTGGACTTCCAGTCTATATTCGGAATGTATAAAATAATGACACCGACTTGGTCTGAACTGTCATAGCAGCTTGAATATATTCGGAGGAAGTAACTCTGTCGTAGGAGAAGTTCATTATTATTTTTTTTTTTTAATTAAAAAAAAAAAAAATCACGAATTTGTCAACAAACGTAGCCCCAAACATGAGAACCTCTAAAGTACAAGAGCCGGGGCACTCTGCCCCCACTTTTTCAAGTACCCCAAAGGTGCTTTTATATGTACTGACGAAATCTGCTCTCTTTTACTTCTCATAAGTCCCCCTACTCCCTTCTTATAAGTGCACCTTTTCACCTCTGATAAGTGCCCCTAATAAAACCTGAAAAGGTTCACCTTATTTACTTGGACATGTGCCCCTTAGACTTTGCAATAACTGCCCCTTTCCACCTCTTAATAGTGCTCCATTTTACATTTGATGGGTGCTCTTTGTCACCTCTGATAAGTGCCCCTTTTTCTTTTTAATAAGTGCCCGTTCACTTCTCATAAGGACCCATTTTCTTTTTGTAATAAGTTTCCCTTTCTCTGTCTTATAAATGCCCCTTTTCACCTCTGATAAGTGCCCCAATCGAAATCTGATAGTTCAGAACGAATTGTGTCCCTTTTCGAATATAATCGTGCTCGATTTCAACGCTACTAAATGTCCCTTCTCTAGATAAGTAATTTTAATATAAGAAGTATGCCCCCATCACAAAAAATTTGCCCCTTTAAACTACCATGACATATTCTACTCAATTACGTAAAGAGACCTTCATCCAACCTGTCATCTCTTAACCTCTAAGAACTTTATAGAATACAAAGCTAAACATTTGCCCTTTGTCTAAAGCCCCTCTAAAGTGTTGGGAGCCCAAAATTCGCCAAAAAAATTAGGCAAAATTTCACTTAAATTGTATCACAATGTGAAAGAGGATGTAATTGAAGACACACTTCTGCAAAGATTTCCCCCTAAGAAATGTGTTTGAAGACAAATATTGATGAACGTATACTTAATTCGGGTTTTCTGTTGTACGCAAAAAACCTACATTTTGTATTCTTTCATGAATATTTGACTTCAAACGCATTTGTTTCGAAAATCCTTACAGAAATGTGTATTAAATAAACAGTTGGGTTCTTGTTTAACACCCACTATGCCTTCAAAAATCATGGTTATTGCTCTAGCTTATTCTTATTTATGACATTTATAGTGCCCTTTAGAGACATAAAAGATAATTTTAGGCCCAAAAATAAAGTCCGATTATACCAATTCAGCTCCACTTTTACAAAAATACGTTGGCCGGTAATAACAATACACGATCCGGCCGTTTGTTTGCGTATTATTACCGACACGAAAAAGCAAATAAAAAGCGAGCATTGGCTGAAATAAAACGTATGAGGCGTTATCTCGTTTTTTCATCGGCTGGTTCAAAGCTATCGAATTTTTGTGGGGCTCCACCAATATTAGAAATGGTTAAATTAATGGTTATTTCAGCCATCTCTTAACCGATTTTGATCAAACACAGATGATTTTGTTATTTAAATTGCATGCTCTTTCAAATTTGACACTCAGTTTACCATTATCTCACATCAAAATTATTGTGTGTAGTGCCTTTATGCCAAAACTCAACTATTCTCAACTAGTGAAATTTTGCAATCGATTTGTTGGGGCTCCCAACACTTTAGAGGGGCTTTAGGAATATAAAGGTTCAAACAATGAATGGGTTTTCAAAATCAAGGCAAGACAATGGTTTGTGCCTGCAAACTGGATAGATAAAGCCTCTTACAGTTGTGATACTGGGAATGATTGTGTAAGCTATCACTGACATAACACAACGACAATTATAGAAATGGAGATTGTACTGGATAATGATGATGATACCACTCCCTTCATTTACCTAGTAAGACCAGTACCCCCTATAACACCAGTGCTCCCTCCTCCTCTCTTCATGCATGGCTGGATCCATGCTACACCATTGTTATATATATTATTCGACCACCCCCTTTTTATAATAATGACAATTACAATTATAATAATAATGGTAATAATAATTTTAAAAGGTAATAATTATGTTTTTTTTTTATAGCGCACATGTCCACCACGAAAAGAGCTCAATGTATCAATATCAGCCCGGTTCCGCTAGGTTCGCAGCATTCAATGAATTCTTTGCTACCGGTACCCATATATAATTTCCCCTGGGTGGAGTGTGGCAAATATAGAGTAATGTCTTGCCAAAGGAAGTATGTAAAGTTCCATGAACCGCGAACCACGTAAGGCACAGTCTGAAGACGTATCCACTGCACCGGCCACGACACCTTTACACACCCTCTCATGTTCAGAGAGCAGCGGTAAGTTCCATTATATTTGGACCGAAGATATTGTATGTTGCAGGTAACGCGGGAGGAAACGGCGTCATGATGTCAAATGTTTGAGTAGAAATGTCAAATTGAAGTGATTGGAATTAACGAAAGGATGTAAGGCACGATCTTGTCATAGCAAAGTGGTTCAACAATTAACCTAAATATAGATTCGACGGTGGAGAGGAGAAATCCTGAAATGATCGAGTGCAATATTTGGATTGTATATGTAATGGTGTATTCAGAACTTAGGAATAAAAGAAAGGGAGAGAGAGAGAGAGAGAGAGAGAGAGAGAGAGATGAAACGAGAACATCATATCCATTTATGGTAGCAACTTGTGCATTCTGCCAAACGGAAACGCCTAAATGTGAAAAGCATCTTTTGTTCCATTTTAAGAGATTGGTTTAGTTTCGATCAAAAAGCGTTTTTCATCTTTAGCTGTCAGTGGATCGTTTGCTTTGAACTCGTTATCAAACGATTATGTCAATTCGAATTATTCTTTTTCAGCACAGCGAATACAGGAGATACGGTTACAAAAGGTGGAAACTGAATGAGGTTTAAACTTGGGCACGCTGATCATACCGAGTCTGCATGTTGCATTGGTTAGAAGGAAAGGGATTTGTGTTCAGTATCAGGAAAACTTTATTGACGACGGTTGAATTGTTGTTCATCAACAGGAGTTATCAACTGAATTTAAACCGCCATAAACTGATTTGAGAGATATTCAAATTGACGACATGAAGAAACCAACCGTACGTAGAAGAATGAATGGAGTTGACAAAAGTAATGCGATCTTTGGTTTCTCGTCTTCTCGTGGGGAAAGTTCTTACCCCGAAAGGATGGAATTGTCGAATGTAATTACGAACGGCACGGGACATTCGAAGTTACGCCATATTTGTATACCTGAAGTTGCGGTATTTCTCCTCATTATCCTAGCATCTAGCGAACATTCTGAACTTGGTTGTCCTACCAAAGCTGTCAGTAATCAAAGAAGTTAGCAAGTTCTTTCACTTGGCACCTAGTATAACGGATCTTAAAGTGGACATCACTCTAGTAATCACAGCAATCCACAATGTCTGTCGCGGAAACTCACTCATATTATAATCAATTAGGACACATAATCAAATAAGAATAAGTAGTCAAATATTATGATATAGTGAAATTCAAATGTTTATTATGGGATTAGAATATACCCTATTCTCACTCACTTTGCAGGTTTGGGTTATAAGCACATTCTCATAACGGACAACTTGATAGGTAACAGGATTTTATCCTCTACAAATGCGAGTGAGTGTAACGAGCGGCCTTAGGGGGATATTGCTCTTAGTAGCTATAAATTAGCGGCACGTTGAATGATGAGAGGAAAACGGACACTTATCGAAAGGTATAAGACACCTTTTAGAAAAGAAAAGAAGCACTTTTCATAGTTCAAGAGGGTTATTATCAGAGATAACAACGGGGCGCTTCTTATACCTGAAAAGAGGCACTCACCAGGGATGAAAAAGGCACTTATGAGAATAGTAAAAGGGCATTTGTCGACGGAAATGGGGCACATGTGAAAATAAAAGCTGCGCTTATTGGAGTTAAAAAGGGGTAGTTATTAAAAGGGGGAAGGGCATCAGAGGTGAAAAAGGGCATTTTTGAAATGGGGATAGGTCCCTTATCAAAAAGGAAGAGGGGCACTTATCATTGTTAAAAAGGAAATCATCAGAGGTGAAAAGGGGCACTTATCGCACATGAAAAGGGATACTTATGAGAATAAAAAAGGGGAACTTGTTAGAAAGGAAAAAGGGCACATGTGAAAATAAAAGCTGCGCTTATTAGAGTTAAAAAGGGGTAGTTATTAAAAGGGGAATGGGCACTTCTTACAAAGCAAAAGGAGCACTTGTTAGAGTAAAAGGGGCACCTCTAAAACTTAAATAGGGTAATTATCAGAGGTGAAGGGGGCACTTGTCAAAAGTGAAAAAGAAACACTTTTCGTACCAGAAAAGGGCCACTTACTAGAAATAAGGGCACTTATGAGAATGAAAGATGGACACTTATTGCAAAGGAAAATGGGAACTTGTAGAAGGAAAAGTGGTACGTGTCGAAATAAAAGGGGCACTTATCATAGGTGAAAATTAATAGACGCTCTTTTCCCATTGTAAAAAGGGGCACTTTTGGGGTACTTGAAAAAGTGTGGGGGCACTGTGCCCCCCCCCCCAGAGCGCCGCCTCTGACAGAGAGTCCTAGTATATCGTCTTCCTATGGCGATACATACTATCATAAAGTTTAAAGTTCATATCTCACGTGGTTCTTGAGAAATCGCGTTAACGAGAAAAGCGGTGGGGGCGTACGGACAACCAAAAATTATGATGCTTCCCAGGACCACCTTCGTTGGGCAGAGGCATAATAAAAAGAAACTAGATTTGTAATACTTGTTTGGAACAAGTATAGGCGGGCTGGTCCAACTAAAATTTGAGACAAAACAAAGGGCACATTTGACATAGCTTGTTGTCTCAGCTACAACATACTCGAAGTTCAGCGTAAACGAAGCTTAAACGACAGAGATATTGCTCGCGAAAGACGGGAATGTAGAATCGAGTTTTGAAAAAAAAAATCATGTCCCATAGAGAATACACGCAAAATGTGAAAAATTGACATTCCTCCTTTAATCGCAAAAATACGCCATGATGCTTTTGTCGAAATGAAAAATTGTGAATCAAAATTTGTAGAGAATTGTCTTAGCTACACCATATCGAAATTTGGAAGAAAATCGAGCAATATTTACAGAGATACAATCGATTTTCCATATATATGCTGACGCCATAATATGCAAATTCGTATTTTGAGTTCGAAGGCCATTATGATGATGTCACGATACACTTAATGGCCATATGAGACATGAAATCATATCTCTGATTCATACTCAATCAAAATATGAAAAAAAATTAGGGTCACCTTGCATCCTAAAGAGCTACAAGGGATTTTGCATAGGCATGTTTTTGCCCATATATGCTATGTATTACAAGAGCTCGCGCGCACGGAAATTTATGTTTAACGGTCGATCATTCCGTCATTAATAGTCATAAAGAGATAAACATGCTATCAATTTTTTTGTAAAAATATGTGGAATATCATGAAAGAAAAAAATGGCGATTCTATGTTGTGCAATAGTTTTACGCGCGAAAACGCGCACGCATGCTTGTGTGCGCGATTTTTTTATAAAATGCTTAGAATGGCCTAAAACGTATGCAAAATGATTTTGAGACGATTTTGAGCATTTCAAAATTTTGCGCGCGCATTGAAGCGCGGACGTACGCGCACGCGCGCGTTATTTGACCTGCAATTGACCGGACGGATATTGACCTTGATCATGATAAATATGAATGAGAAATAACCTTTGGTTATGAAGATATGATCATGTGTTGATTTTCGTAAAATGTTTACAAAATGGCGCCTAGATGACGTCATGAGTAAAGGTCAATGTTGAAAACGTTATTATGCTTTGTACATATGCCTATACATATGTGTGCCAAATTTGAAAGCATTTGATTGAGCCATTTTAAAGTAATCGTGCTTACAAAAAAGTGGTTCGAAATAAGAAAAATAAAGAATAATAAATAAATAAATAAATAAAGGCAATTCTAACGAAATTATAAGGTGGTCTGTACGTTATACAGCCCACCTGATAATAAATAAAGGCAATTCTAACGAAATTATAAGGTAGTCTGTACGTTATACAGCCCACCTGATTATATTTGCATTGTGTGAAACAAAATCAAATTCTGGTCAGCAATTGAAACGCTGCAATATGGATCATGAAAAGGCCTACAAAATAAGATGTTGTATTGCCCTTTGCGACCGACCCAAAAATCTTGAAATCTACGATCGGCGTTTTAATTTTTTTTTTTTTAACCGCTTTTTAGAGAAAAATATAAATTTAAAAAAAAATTGTATTAAAGCAAAAAATTGAGAATTATCAGCCCAAAAAGGGGAAAAAAGAAGAAGATTTTCGACTGACCCATGTTTTGGCACCTAAAGGGAAATACAACATCTTCTTTCAAAGGCCCAATGGGTCAGTTTTAACAGTCGGATGGGGGTTAGATATTTGAAGAAAAAAAAAATGTTCATTCCGTAGCAGGCAATTCCTAAATTACTAGGACCAAATACTACTCCCACTTTTATTTCATTTTGTAAACTTCATCAGGGGCTGTGTAATTCAAATATGCCAAATTGTGTTTAATGAGGTAGGGGGGGGGGGGAGGGGCAGTCTCCGGTGCCCCCTATATCAACTTGTTATCTCTCGCTCTTTTTTTCTCTCGTTTCTCCGTTACATCTCAATTAATCTCTCTATCATATTTTGCACTGTGCACCTTTTGTTTCTTCAACTTACAGCACCAATCAATTATGCTAAAATCATGCATTAACATTTCAAAGCAATATGCCCCTACGTAACGAAGAAAGAAACATTTCTACCCTAGAATAAATGGATTTCTAAATGATTGTAAGAATTAAATTGCATTCTGATGGAAATCTTCTGATAAAATCAGGGGTGATAGTGAGCACTGACAAAAAAAATGGTTGTTTTCTTCCTCAACCATCCCCACCCCCACCCTTAAGTAGAACAAATATTTTTTTTTAAAAGGATTTCGGGGAAAAAAATCGGGGGGGGGGGGGGATCGGGAAAAGTGAAGAAAAACAATAATCAGGAAACCGATTTAAATCGGGCAATTATCAGGCCTGTCAAATTATTCTGTTTCCTTTTGAATCTCAACCTCATTATATATGGACAGCAATCTTGATGAAATTTAGTGAATATTTTGTATAAAAAGAAATGAAAATTATCATCATTCAAGGACAGGAAATAGGAAGAATAGGGAAAGGCAACATCAAAAGGATTACTACTACATTATGACTAATGACATCAAATATTCATATGTAGTTTTGTAGCTGATAACAACTTATTTAATATTTACAATTGGTTTATATCTTACAATGATAAGCAATATGTCTCATCTTTTTGTTTTCAGTAGCTATATTGCACCTTCATTAATTACACACTAGACAAGAGGTTTCTTTAAAAATACAAACACAAACTGAATAAATGTTATCGAGATGATTTATGATCATCTCCCCCCAAATTCCACTCAAACGCTACTTTACCCAGTCCTAAAAAAATAGATATATATATATCTTCGTTTGCTTTGGTTACACCCATTCTATTTTGAAATGTTATTCATACAACAATGCACTTGGTGTTTCTGCCTCCTGCAAAACTAAATCGATCCACTCTAGATTAGGATTATCTTATTGAGGCCTGAAGATTAGGATTACCTTGTTGAGGCCCGACCCCATCTTTCCATAGACTTAACCCATGAATCATGATCATCTATTATGTTCAAATCAGTCACCTATAATTTGTGGTATTGGCATTGGAACTGTCCTTCTTTGTCCAAACACACATATATTGATAATATTTACTCGCTACAGGCCAGGAGACCGACAATACTGGTTGGTGTCATGAGAAAATGTTCACAAGGTTCACAAAACCTGACATCCAATTCATTGATCCAATTTGTGCACCACTTCAAAGCAAAACAAGACGAAACAAAGGATGATCAAAATGATGAACACATTGCTATCATGACTGTAATACTTCTTAGTTGTAAACTGGTTAACTGAATGCTGCATCAACTTCTCCAGAACAGCTTTAATAAAAAGAATTGAGCTCCATCCATCAATTTAAGTACACCACTTGCCTTCAAATGTTTGGTTGAAATAAAAGCTGTAGACCGTTTAATAATAAAATAAAGCTTATATACATACACTGAAATGTATTTGGCACTGATAATTCTGTCTCCATAATTTGAACAATCATTACAGCAACTGTACAGGGAATTCATCTCAAGCAGGTTGACAACAAATTAAAGGATAGATCATATGTTGTCTATTTGACTGGCAAAGTGAGTGAAAAAGATACAACATGTGTCCATGGCCTTTATTCTATAACATGCCTAGGTTAGTCAGCATACAGATCTATATTGAAGCAATATGCCTTCCTTGTCACCTTCCTGTAATAAAGCAATGCACACTACCACTTTCCAAAACCACAATCTCAAAACCTTTTCATTTCTGGGCAATGAGGGGGACATACCTGAAAATAGAAAGGCTGAATATTGATGAACCCATGTGATGATATTATTTTGGATGTGTGCCTCGGTAGAGAAAAAGTAACACAAAAGGATCTTAGCCAAACACATTGTTGTGTAATGTTATCAAACTCAATGCAAACATCGTTGTCATGTACTTGTGACAAATTACTACGTTCACTTGTTATGTTTATGAATAATTGTATTTCAACAGTCAGAATAGGAATCACATACATTATGTGCCGCCATGTCTGCTGACCTAGCAACAACAAATATGTTCGATTCTAGCTATTAAAATTGAATGTACTAAATGGTTTATTTGCTGAAATTTCTTGTTTAAGCTCACATTAAAAAAAGAAAAAACCTGATTTCCTTATCTACATGACTCCTTTGATTAAATTCATATACAAAAGTGCTGGTAAATACCCTAAATATTGAAGATTTGAGAACCTATAGAAATAGAAGAAAAAAAAGAGGTAGAAAATTGTTGTCATGGAGTTTGCGTAGAGTTTTTGATGTACATAAGTACTTGTATTTGGACAAGAAAAAAGAAAAAATAGTTAAGACAGTTTGCAGTACATGGATCATCTTTGTTCAAATATTTTCTGGTTTGTGTTCAATATTTTGGCAAAAGATAAGACATTTTGAAATCTTTCCTCTCTTTAAGGTACAGGTGAATAATTTAATACCTTTTTACATACATGTACATATTACTTTGAATAGGCCAACCTTAGGATTGTCGTAATGAAAATCAACAAGGAATCTTACACCAGTTTGCTTCTTTAAGATGCAAAGCAGTGACCATTTAAGCATCCTCATTTTACCCTTTTGACAGCACCAAATGTTTGAACTTGTACCACTGAGAAAAATTCATAAGAAGAGTTCTTACTTATGGTGACTCTTTTCACTGAAAATGATAAAATATTCAGTTCTTGTATAGCGCACATCACATTATATAACTTCCAAAGAGCTTTGGAAATTATTACCCTAGCTTTAGCTCCGGCAGCCGTTATCAGCGCACAGTGCATTTCAAGGAATAATCCTACCAGAAACCCATTTACCATGAGATCTAACTTTACAATTCATAAACTTGTTTGGAGTCTTCAACAGAAAGACCAGCTTTTCTTGGTCAAAGGATATACAGTTTTGGGCACTCATTAACAGGTATGGTAGTCAAAGGGTGACTCATCCTTTGTCCGATAAAGGCCATTTAGAGGAACAGTCTTTCAATCCTTCTAAACAAAGACATTGCCTTTTTGAACATCCCCTGGCGTGTCAGTCCGATACAACATTGTAGCCTATTCCTTCTTGATAATATAACACATTGTCTATCTGAACACTCTGTGGCATGTTCAGGGTCTCTACCACACAGATCTTGGAATGTGAAGGTCCGAAGCGGTCGAGACCTGGTCCGAAGTAGTCGGGACCTGGTCCTTCAGCTCATTGCTCATGCTTTCTCTTGGTCTTCTTGGGGTTCCTGGACCTGCTCTTGGCCTTGCAAAGGGGACAGATCGGAGCGTTTCTGTGGATCTGCTGGTGACATGACAGACAGTTCTGTAAAGAAAAGAATAGAAAATAAGATAGGCAACGAGCATTATTTCACCTGTGAAATCATTGTACATATCATATTCTAATCTCTGGTTCTCTTGCTTTTATCATATCCATTTCATTTACTGGTCCTACATAAATCTACCAATTTGAGAAGGGGAATGGTCCATTTTCTTTTTGAATGTGCAATTATCCTAAACTTATCCATCTTTAGTTTTTCATTTCGAATGGGTAGCTCTAGTGCAATATAAACCCCCCCCCCCCCCCCCCCCACATTCTCATGACATTGTGGTTATCTGTGGATTATCATATACATGTTGATAGATCCTGGACAACCAACATCCTGTCTTCAAACAATAACTGCTTCATAGAATGACTTCATACAAATAGTAGAATTAAAGTACCGTAAGCTGATTTGAAAAGAAATTTAGACAAAGAGGGTACAACAAAGTTATGAACTTTGTAGACTTGAGATAATATTGGAATGTTACTGTGTGTGTGACATAAAAAAGAATAAGGTTATTTTTTATGGTATATGAAATATCAAATTACGATTTCTTTTTAAAAAAATATAAAAAATCCAAAGATTGTACTCAAAGATGTGTACTCCTGATATACCTGTCAGGAGTGTCATATGTGACCCGGCACCACAAAACCACCAAAAAGTCGCAAAAATTATTTTCCTGATTTCATCTGATTATGAAAGAAGAAGTTCTCCTCATTAAAATGGTATATTACTTGTCCAAATTGAAGCTTCCTAACCCTTTCAATTTAGTGAATGAAAAGAGCTGGTGAGGGAGGTTACTGGTATTAAATTGTGAGAAAGAGAGCTTTAAAGTTTGGGGCTATTCAAGCATGCGGAGCAAGCAAACCACAGGGAAATCAATAGAAGGGTGAATCAAAAGGCCATAGCAACCACTATGAAGAGATTTTCAGATTAGGCTGAAATTTGGCCTGATGGTCAAACATAGTCTGTTCATTATGTTTCTGAGGTTTCAATGTGTGGACTTAATTCTTTCAAAAGTTATTATGTTGTAAATGTATAGAGTTGTAATTGGACAGATTAAGTGAACTGCAACATAGTGCCGAGACACCTGCACTAGACAATGCCTATTCATGGTGGACCCGGAGTCTTTTTGTTCCCCCTTACATAACACTGCTTGTCACCTATCTTGTTTTGTATACATCTGGGCAATTATTTGTAACCACATTATCAGGAATTCTCTCGTCGCTGTCTTGCCCGAAGTGTTCAGTAAGCAAAGCTGTAAGGTTGGCCTGATCCCCCGCAGCTAGCCCCCGCATCATCGCTTCGTTGACCGCCCGAGCTACCCGGGCATCTGCGTTGGTGCACCCCGGTACCATCCCACGGCTCTGCTCACGTACAAAACCTGGCATTGTAACGACGTTGTAGACTTTTTCGCAACTTGTCACTCTCAAATGTATAACATATAATAATGTTCTTAGGTCTACTCTTGATCAACACATTCTGGATATGTGATGTACAATCAAGCTACTCGAAGTCGTTAACGGAGAATATAAGACGAACGCAAATCTGGAACTCGGATGTGAAAGCGGATACAAACAAAATGGCGCGCCGCACTGATTGCTATAACGGACCAATCACAGCCCGCGTAGCACGACCCGTTAGCAACGACCGACCATTTCCGGACTACGATAATTTCGCTCGGGAAAAGTGATCAAATTTTGGAAGAGACCGAAGGCTGTGCGAAAAAAACTGGTCTAGAAAAACCGTTTAAAACACATCTTCTACTATGTTTTAGACTTCCAAATTTTGACACTAGGTACAGAAAAGACCACTCTTTCAGAAAATGCAAAAAAACAAAAATCTATTTTTTTCACCTAAATTGACATTTTAGCTGATTACGGAGAATCGCTGGTTGCGACTTTTTGTTGGTTTTGTGGTGCCGGGTCACATATTTGAGTATTTTGTTGGTATAAAACAAAAAGGATAATTGTCCTGTTTAACCTAAGTCCTATTCAGACAGGACACAGAAAAATTTGCTTTTTTAAACAACCCCTCTTAAAACCACCACAGCTAAAAAAACAGAATGAAAGGGAAAAAAAACTAAAATATACAAAGGCCCCATTGTAAATGTTACTGTATGTGCATTACAATATACATGTACATAGTTTTGATGAGTTTTATGTACAAACTAAATTATTCATACCCCTTGTATATTTGATTGTTTTTGTATCTCAAGAATGAAAGGTGGACAGGTTTAAATGGAAAGTCCACCCCCAAAATAAGTTTGTTTCGATAGAGGCAGAATAATAAGAAAATCAGGTGAGTGAAAGTTTGAGCAAATTCTGAATGAAAATAAGAAAGTTATGAATTATTGAAGTTGTGATCAATCAAATACAAATTGGCAACTCTGTGACTTATTATACGAGCTCTCCTTCATTTGCTTTGTGCATAATATTCCATAAAATCATGTTTTCTTTGTTATTGATGACGGAATATATATTTGTTCCTTGCAGGGGGAGTATAGAAACATATTTGCAATTATTATATTTAGGGTGCATGTATGGTTGAAATTTTTCTTGAGGGAAAATGAAAATTTTAGATTTTTTTTAGTACTGAGCAAATGGAAGTTGAGCTCGCATGATACGTCATAGAGTTGCCAATTTGTGTTTGATTGATCACAACTTCAAAAATCCCAACTTCCTTATTTTTAATCGGAATTTGCTCAAACTTTCACTGACTTGTTTCTCTCATTTTTCTACTCCTATTAAAACTAACTTAATTTCAGGGTGGACTTCCCCTTTAATTAAGGCTTTTGTTGAATACTTTTAGATGTAAGCTTTAAAATCACACACTCTAATGAAACATAAATCATGAAAAATACATTTTTTCACATACTTTAAAAATGACAAAACATGGTATTAAAGGGTATGAATAATTTTGTTGTTAACTCCATGTTATTTACGTGGAGGGAGCGTACAGCATCCTGTCTGAACAAGGTGAACCACTCTTCATTGTTGATTGTTACCGGGCATGGTGGCTCAGTGGTTAGGGCGCCCGCCTCATGAACTGGAGGTCGTGGGTTCGAACCCCGGCCAAGTCATACCAAAGATTTATAAAAATGGGACCTTCTGCCTTCTAGCTAGGCGCTCAGCATGCTAGATTGGAGAAGAGTAGTAATAACATATTATGTTATGCAGGGCCCGCTGGAAGAGCAGTTTCATAACAGAAGTGGCTACCCTGGGTAAATAAAACGTTATTTTTATTACTATTATAAGCCACACCTACCTTCATAGGTGGTGGTTGTTGTTTGAAGGGCGGAGGAGGAGGAGGACCATTCATCTCCTTACTGTGACTGGTACCAGGCATCTGGAAGGGTGGGGGAGGTTCCAGTGGGAGGGGCAGGGTGCATGTAGGGATCAGGGGCGAGGGAGGGTCCCTCTTCTCTATATCATGCCATTCCGCTCTTCTCTTCCTCAGAAGGCTGCAATTGAACAACAAAAGTGAAATTTCATAGAATTAAATCTACTTTAGAAACCACCTATACATGGAGAGTTCTTAGGGAGATATGTACATGTAATTGTCAGTGATGTTTACATACTTTTTTGTGTCTCAAGAAGTATTTCCCAATGTAACCTACATTACAAAAGGAACCTATTCATTTATATATTACATACATTAAAAAAAAATGGCTATTAACTCAACTCTTCTTGTTTTCCTCCAAAGAGCTTTATATACTTTTGAAATAAATATCTGGTGAGGCAGAATAATCCATATTGATCCTTTCTATAGGCTTACAAAATGTACTATGTAAAAAAGAATAAAAGGTTCTTTCATTGATCAACTAAACCTGTTGAATTCTAAGATATAACCCAATCAAAATGCATGTTAAATGAAAAAGAATCTGTCTACAATTACAAAAAAAACCTAATAAGGACATGGGAAAAAACAATGAAGGTTATAACAGTTTCCTGGTGCTTTTTGTAGTCTATAATTTATGATGGGGAGGGGGATGTGCCCCCATCCCCCTCAATGATCATCTCATATCCACTTACTCTGGATCGAGCCTCCTGTCTTCCTCAGTGAGCTCCGGGATGCGATCCAATCCAATGGACATCCTCTGAGCATTGATCTGCTCCTTGAGACACACATACTCCTGGTACATCTTCCACGCTGCTTCAAACGCTTTGTTCCTATCTCCTTCTGTATTCTTGATCACACTCTCAATCTGTCAACAAAAACATACAGAAATCATCATACAGGGGGGCGTTTCACAAAACTTGTCATCAGTGACAAATGACGTTTTTGTTATAAGCTACTGAAATCCTCGCTTCTGATTGATTATCAGCAGATTTGTCACTGAATTTTGTCATTTGTCATTGAAAAGAGGCTTTGTGAAACACCCCCCCAGAAATCAATATATGACAAGAGGTTTGCAGATCTTACGCTCACCTGAGCCAATGAAAGTAGGGGCTTTGCAAGAAGGGACCTAGCTTCCATCCCCTTTGCACAGGGAACATAGGATTTATTGGACGAGTAGGGCAATTTAGGGGTGCTGCTCCCAGGTCCCCTGCAGCTAGAAGCAGGTATCCCATTCAAACAAATTTAGGTCTTCTCCACATGTTTGGCCAGAATCCATCCCAATATTTTGGTATGAAATCATATCTACACTTCATGATCAATCAGAATAAGAAACAAGTGAAACGCTCTCGGCGGTCTCGTCTGCATAACCCAATTCCGTAGGTTGAAAAATTGAGGTTGGGACATCGTTTACAGGCAGGGTGGCCCATTAGCAGGCCCCCCCCCCCCCAAAATGAAATCCACTTAATATAATCAGCATTTTAAGGTGAATATTGACAAAGAATCATCAGAAGAATTATTTACTTTAATTTGCACCAAGATTGATAACTTAAATGAAATATGAGCAAATAACAAAAATTGATTTTATTAATTCTCATATTAAAGGTAATACAAAGTTTTGGGAAATTTTGAAAATTGGATGGATAATTCTTCTTTCTAATTTTGATATATTTGGATGCCTTTGTGGATGTATTATAAGCACTAGAAAATGTAGCCCCTAAAACACTTATGCTTTCAACAAAAATTGAATACAAACATTTACTGGTGCTCCTAGTATATTTTGATAAATTTCAAATATCGCCTACGGCCGTACAATGGAAGCTGCGACCATGAAAATCTCAGAATATGTAGTTGTGATATATAATTTCCAAACGGGAATAGCTAATCGGTCGATTGTAGTCAAGAAATATTGTTTTATAGCTTAATTAATATCTTGACCTTGAGAGGGAGGTATACAACATAAAGAGTTTATTATTTACAATTAAATAACTTTAGACTCGATTTCAACTGTGACAACAATCACTAAATATTGTAGGATCGAATGTGCTTCCAATATATGTTCATTTTTACCAAATAAATAACCCCATACCAAAATTTTGTAGTACCTTTAAGTTGTGTAAACATAATTCAAGTCTACTGTAAAGTTATGCTTGACTTTACAAATGACTTGAATATGAAGAGCTAAATGGGATTCTCACATCCTTTTAATTGCATAAGCTAAAGTTGAAATATGCAGATGTAGATTAACCTTATCATTATTAACATAACATTGTAATGCAAAGTGTATTTTTGGCTACAATTTAATTGAGAGTCACACTTTGTTAAAATGTCAGGAAAAACTTTGGGCATCCCAATTGGCTCTTCCTATTCAAATCATTTGTAAAGTCATTTGTAACTTTACGCACAGCTTTATGAAAGACCCCCTGGTTTTAAAAAAATATGGAAAAGAGAGAGAGAAAAAAAAAACTTTAAAAAAATGCTGCAAGTAAGTGGAATTCCTCATTTTCCCAGAGAAAAGAAAAAAAAGCTCTTATAAAGAGTGAACAGGACAATCCTCCTCCATTAAAACAAAATATTTTTACTTTTACCCTGTGGTTCAATGGGACGTCCCTCTAGACCGACAGCCCACAAGGCCATTAATGTCAGCATTATAAAACCCTTCGGACAGGGAAATATAATGTTGGTATCATGGGTTGTCGGTTTTGTGGACTCACACAGTGCGTTACTCACCGTGTTGATGTCTGAATGTATCTGCCTTAGCTCCTCCACATGTGCCAAGCGCTCCTGGTTGAGCAGCTCCATCTCATGTCGGTACTCTTTCAGTCGATCCTCCTCCTTCTCAGCCTCCTGCATGTCAACCAGGAGCCGTCCCTTCATCTTCTCCAGGTGAACCGTCTGAGACCTGGAGACCAAGAGATTAACAGATATAAAAACAATCATTATTAAGTCAATCCTCCTCCTTCTTAGCCTCCTGCATGTCAACCAGGAGCCGACCCTTCATCTTCTCCAGGTGAACCTTCTGAGACCTGGAGACCAAGAGATTAACAGATATAAAAACAATCATTATTAAGTCAATCCTCCTCCTTCTCAGCCTCCTGCATGTCAACCAGGAGCCGACCCTTCATCTTCTCCAGGTGAACCGTCTGAGACCTGGAGACCAAGAGATTAACAGATATAAAAACAATCATCATTAAGTCAATCCTCCTTCTTCTCAGCCTCCTGCATGTCAACCAGGAGCTGACACTTCATCTTCTCCAGGTGAACCGTCTGAGACCTGGAGACCAAGAGATTAACAGATATACAAACAATCATTATTAAGTCAATCCTCCTCCTTCTCAGCCTCCTGCATGTCAACCAGGAGCCGACCTTTCATTTTCTCCAGGTGAACCGTCTGAGACCTGGAGAACAAGTTTGTTCTTCTTTTTTATTACTCTTGATCAATAAAATACTTTTTTATCAATATAAAAGAATAAGTAAATTATATACCGGTAATGAAATGAGAACTCTATGTTACCATATTTAATAGTAACAGTACATTGTATATGGTTCATTTATTGAAAATTTGTATCTCAGCCAAAAGGCTGATTGTAAAAGAATTTTTTCACTAATGTTTTTACATGTTCATGATGAATTAATACACTAAATAATATGACAGTACAGAAAACATGAATTAACATACCTTTAAAAAAAATGTATATATACATGTATGTTACCCATTTACATAGATCAATGCCTAATCTATGCCTAACCTTTTATGTTTGAATTGAATTGATTAAACTTGCATATATTCTAACATTGAAATCGTACCGATAGGAGGAAACTCTGAAATGAGTTTTATCAATCTACATTGATGAGCTATTGTTTTTGTACTTTTATAGTATAAGTTTCTTATCATAAAATTCTAGCATAAAATATCTATGTACAAGTCAATGATGTTCATGAACTCAATTCAAAATAGTTTTTAAAGATAATAACCTACTGTTCAAATCAAGTTTAAGTTCAAGTTCGACTTTATTTAATTCCAGAAATACAAATCAGAAATAAGGCACGGATGCAAATCATTAAACATGGTATCAAGGGTACCATAAAAGATTACTGAAATGCAGTCTTGTCAAGTCCCTTTATGAACAAAATTAAAAGTGCTAGAAAGCATGAAAGGAGTAAACTATATTTAAACATTTACCGTACTTACCTGAAGATGCCCCCCCCCCCCCCAAAAAAAAAAAAAACTAGATGGAATTTTGACTGCGCGCAGTCGAAAATGATGCCTCCGCCATAGAGCAATTTAAACAAGTTTGGAGTTTAAATCTCCAGTGGTTCTTGAGATATCATGATAACAATCTCAATGTATGGAATTTCATGTTGACCTCTGTGACCCTTGACCTTTGACCTACGTGCTCCAAAATCTAATCAGATTGTCTTCCTATGGTGATACACACTATCATTAAATTTGAAGTTTAAATCTCCAGTGGTTCTTGAGATATTATGATAACAATCTCAATGTATGGAATTTCATAAGTTGACCTCTGTGACCCTTGACCTTTGACCTACGTGCTCCAAAATCTAGTCAGATCGTCTTCCTATGGTGATACATACTATCCTTAATTTTGAAGTTTTTACATCTCCAGTGGTTCTTGAGATATCATGATAACAATCTCAATGTATGGAATTTCATAAGTTGACCTCTATGACCCTTGACCTTTGACCTACATGCTCCAAAATGTAATCAGATTGTTTTCCTATAGTGATACACCCTATCACTAAGTTTGAAGTTTAAATCTCCAGTGGTTCTTGAGATATCATGATAACAATCTCAATGTATGGAATTTCATAAGTTGACCTCTGTGACCCTTGACCTTTGACATACGTGCTCCAAAATCTAATCAGATCGTCTTCCTATGGTGATACATACTATCCTTAAGTTTGAAGTTTAAATCTCAAATGGTTCTTGAGATATCGCGCTAACAAACTCAATACAAGGAATTTCATAAGTTGACCTCTGTGACCTGTGACCTTTGACCTACGTACTCCAAAATCTAATCAGATCGTCTTCCTATGGTGATAAATACTATTCCCGAGTCTTAAGTTTAAATCTTAAATGGTTCTTGAGATATTGTGATAACGGTCAAACGGGACGGACGGACGGACGGACGGACGGACGGACGGACGTACGGACGGACGGACGTACGGACGGACGGACGGACGTACGGACGGACAACCCGAAAACATGATGCCTCCGGCACCACCTTCGGTGGCGGAGGCATAAAAAAAAGAACAATCAATAAATTAATAATTAAAAGATGTAATAACACATCTAATAATTTTTTTTTAAAGAGAGACCAGACAACCCTTAGCAAATTTTGGAAACAAACATTACAGCTTTAGACTAAAATCAGAAAAAGGAAGAATTTCTTTGATTTTCTCTTAAAACTATATTATAAAAAACAATTTGTGTGTTTCCATTTTGAAGAAATTCCATATAACTGGTACTTTGTGTATAAAAGTGAAAGAGACAAAAATTTGATTAACAAGTTACAAACCATAAATGAATTTTTTTTTTTGCATTTCTGGTGTTTTAATGATGCACCGAACTACTCAAAGTGAGCATATTTGAGGTTTAATAAAACATTTTTTATGTTTGAAGAGCATATTATTTTTTACTAATTTGACTTAGTATATATTCTTACTATCTATTTTGAAGGAAAATATAAGGGAAGTAATTAAGTTGGAAAATGTTAAGAAAGTTCAGTTCTTGAAATAATGGTTAAAAGTGCACAAGGTAATTTGACTTAGTACAAATTCTTACTATCTTTTTGAAGTGAATATAAGGGCGTAATTTGGTTCTCAAGAAAAGGCCTTCTGACTAGTTGATTGGGCTTGAAAACTTAAAAGGCCCAGTCCAACATATTGCTTCCCATACTTTACTGGCAACAAGAAATACTGGTACATATGTATTTAACATGTATACCCGATGATAAGATGATATTGATAACACTATTCCTTTAGCTTGGAAGTTGGAGTAGATGATACTCCCATGTTATGTTCCTAATTCTAAGATACAATGTACATATACAACAAATATGTAATATATGTAACATACAGGATACAAAATGGGATACAAAATAAGCAAATAACTTGCTGATTTCAGAATAATGTATTATGTATTCAATTCAAATGACTGCTGAATTTATGGACAATTTCTTATATCAGTTCAATGACAAACAACCCTTCTTGTGAATTAGAATATGCTATACCGGTAATTACAGTGTCTATACAATTTAAACATTCATACAGTGAATATTTTTTTTAAATTTGAACTGGAAAATTAGTGAATCAATGAAGGTTAAATTTCACTATACAAACATGTATTTTGATGAAAATATCTTCAGATCAACAGATCCTATTAGAGAAGTACATTTTATGTGTAGCGATTGCACACATCATGATGCACATGTTGATATCTTTTATGGGAAAAATAGAATTACAGAGCTATTAATTCATTTGAAATAGAGAAGGTAAAAACACACCAAACTTTGGCCAAAGCCTGTTCATTATCAAAGGAGGTGTAGCATGGCAAATACTGGTTATTCAAACGCCATCTATGACTTCTTTAGGACAACTGTACGTGAACGAATGGACTTGATTAACGGTCAGCATGCGCTAGCATTCGCGAAACAGACCGAAGTTCTCCCCATGCTTCGGTTTTGCGTATGCTGCACACACATGAATACTGCGGTCGCATCGTCCGTAGTCATATTATACCTGATTGGCCCCCGAGTCAGGCCATGGGAAAGACACAGTCTCTTTCACATAGTCCCTTTAAGAGAAAACCTGTTGACTACATAATAGGACCCTTTCAACAACGACAACAAAGCACCCCCCCCCCCCCCCCCCCAAAAAAAAAAAAAAAAAATAGAACAAAAGAAAGTTCAATAAGGAAGAAGGCATAATGGAAATTGCTACAATATGTGTATCTTAAAGAGATGATTTATACAATTATAGGATGAATTAAGGAACACAAAACTTTACAACATCAAGAGCAAATAAGTTGAAATGACTTTAGCTATTTTTCGTTGTTGCAACTTTAAGATGTTTGCTCATTTTGAAATGTCATCCAAACCAGATTAATTCTTACTTTTCAAACACTCACACCTCTCTAACCATGCATTTCATATGAAAAATCAACATGTCTATTAAAAAGAATAAGGAAATCTATCCTTTCTCAGTAGTACCAAACCTTTCAATTTTACTTGATTTTATGAGAAAAAAAGTAATTTATTCTTACTCATGGTTAGTTAACATTTGTTTTAAAAAAATTGTTTGATGTCAAAGTGAGAAAAGATCCTGTACAAAATTTCAAATTTTCTCAAAAGATATGATGGTACATGTACAAACTACAATATTCTGTTTGTAATATATTTAGAATGCTTGTTACCGTACATCATCAAAACATCAATACCAATTAAAGAGATCTTATGGTTTTAGATTCCTTGGTGGAATAATATGGGGATAAATGTAAGCTTTTAGTAGTCCTATATGGCATGTCACATCAGAACACAACACTGAGCCCAAGCAACAAATAAAGTCATCCTACCTGAGAACATTTTCCAATAAATGAATGCTCATTCTGCTTTCTTCCACACAGTCACTCAACGAAGCAAGAATATTATCTCCCAAACTCCTTTCTCACAAAAATTTCAAAGAGCTGGGCAACGAGGACCCAAAGCTCCACATAAAAGTAGTTGGATGATGGAGCGAGACGATGCCCAGTCACTGTGCCGATAAGCTAGGGATGATGAGGAGGAGGAGGGAGACAGAGGGATGCGGTTCTCCAGATCCCAATTGTAAGATACCATCCAAGGTGTTTAAGCTCTGTGCTTCTTGTTCAAGAGCGACGGCTTAAAATGAGCAGCCTGGGTCGATGTGATCACTTAAGTCTAATCGAAGCTATTGAGTGGAGCTAGCTGAGATGGCCGGACTGAGATGGCCTGATTGTTGACTAAGTGGTGGAGTCTTTTGTGTGCACGTGTCCTGTCTGCCAGACCGTGAACATGGCAGTGGCTGGCTGGCTCAGACACACATAGGGGAGGGGCCTATCAAAGGAAACAAATTTGGCTGGCTGGCTGGCTGGCTGGCTAGATGGAGGCCAAGTACTGTACATAAACTTCGTTTTTTGCTCTCCCTTTCCCAATCTCCCCATCTCTCTCTATCTCTGTCCCTCCTCTCTCTATCTCTCCCTCCTCTCTCTATCTCTCGCTCCTCTCTCTATTACTCCCTCCTCTCTCTATCTCTCCCCATCTCTCTCTATCTCTCCCTCCTCTCTCTTTTCCTCTCTTGTCCTGGCTCTTCTCTCTCTCTCTCTCTCTCTCTGGTGGTAATTTCTTCACAGAGAGTTTTGTCGTGAAGTAATTACATGTACATTAACTACTTATAGAGATTTGGTATTTGGTAAACAAATTACAGTCACTCAAATACAACTGTGGCAAGAAAGCGAGTTTGTACGTATATCTGTGTAAATGTTAAAGACAGAAACAACTTATATGGTCATATTCTAAGTTATCAAAATGGAAATAAATGCATTTCAATCTGAAATCTACTCTTCAAACCATTAAAAATAAACATCAAGACCTGTACTTTAACCCTTAGCAACTAACCCGCCCATCCATTTCCGTCCGTTTTCAACGCCCTGTAGTATACTTCTATGGGGTCTACCGTGATATTTGTTACACATGTACATGCATAATCCTTACAATGTCTACATGTTTCATATTGTTCAAAACAATGCCAAAATGAGAGCAGTATTTCAACATCTTCCAGTGAGTACATGTAATAGGCCATTTTTACAAAATCTCTAGTTGCTAATGGGTTTAAACCTATATATATACCACAGAGCTTTGTTTAAACAAGAGAGTAGCATATCAAACGGATAGAAACACAATTGCACTTGCAAACTGAAAAAAAATATGATAGTCTGATGCAATGTCAATCAGATGAAAGAGAACTATCAGTGTAAAGCCTACTAAAAACTATCTAATAGGTATTGAGACTGAGAGAACGGAGATCAGAGTAGAGAGTTTTAGGCCTACCGGTATGCATTTTTTAAAAAATTAGCAGAATATAAAAAAAATGAATAGGGTAAACAATCAACAAATGTAAATGGGCCAAGAGACATTGAGAGAAAAAACAACATGTAACCATGCATGAGAATGAGAGGTCAGACAAAAATCGATTCTTTAGAACCTGTGGCATACCAATATTTCAACTAAACATATTTCAGCTACGTTGGTTAAAAATACCATGCATCGGTCCAGGAGAATAATGAAATAAGTTAAATATACAAAGAATGAGAGAGAAAGAGACAGAGATTCAGAAAGAAATAAAAAATAAAAAGGAGAGGAAGCAAAGGCTACTAAAGCCCCCCCCCCCCCCCCCATACATATGCAACACTGCTACCCTGGATTTTTTCCAAAGGAATAAATAAAAACAAATAACAGTTCTTCACCTTCTGACACCACTACCCTGGTTGAAAATAACAATAAAATAAGAAAAACCATAAAAACAGATAGACAAATGAGAGAGAGAGAGAGATAGAGAGAGAAAAAGAGAGAAAGAAAGAGTATTGGAGCAGAGGACACCAAAGAATGACAGAGTGTGGGGATTTGTTGCACAGCTAGATAATGCTTGGTGGTGGGTAGCTAGCCGCAGGCCTGAATAATTGATGGAGGTGTTAACTGCTTGATTTGGGGCATTTAATCCATCCCAGCTCAGTGATTTGGGAACCGAACCTCCTGTTGCCCTGCATTAACCTGTTGGCTACCGGGTAGTATCAGGTTCTCACAAGATGGATCAAGCTATCTTTCACATCGTTCAATGCTTTCACTCTTTTGTCTTTGTTTTAAATTCCTCAGAACAGTTCTGGTTTACCTATCATCATGCTTCAATATATTTCTTATAATGTCATTTTATTTTCAATTTATAATCGTTATAATTATCATTTGTCATACCATGCTTCAAATTTCAAAATATTTGTAACGCTTCAATAATTTGTTATGATTTTGACATATTTGTCATATTTTGTATCTGTTTTCAAAACAAAGTATTCATATACTATTGCTAGCACGTTCATTATGCCTTGTCTGAGAGCCATAATGGCATTAACTCATATGTAACTCATTTTACATCGAGAAGTAACATGGAGAGAGAGAGAGAGAGAGAGAAAGAGAGGGGAGGGCGAGACAAAGACGAAAATAGGGACAGATCAAGAGAGAGAAAGAGAAAGAGAGAGAGAGAGAGAGAGAGGGGGGGGGGAGAGTGGGGAAGAGGAAGCAAAAGAAATGAAAAGGTATAGATAGAGATAGAAAAAGAGAAAAAATAGTAATAACATAGAGATGACTTTGAAAGTGGTGTTTATGATATAGCATACATGATGTAACCAATCTTGACTGTCCTACTTGAGAAGGGGAAGGAGAGTAGAGACCCCTATTTGATGAACAAGTCAGACATTGAAATCAAGCTATTAATTAGGTTGTCTAATAATCATGCTAGACTCTGGTGAGAAAATCAAACAGATGAAAAGGAAGGATTAACACTTGGATGAAAGAGGGATGAAAGAGGGGATCAATTAATAGGGGTGCAGGTGTGATAATCTACTTGACTCCCAAACAAAGAGGGGTAAAAAGAAGGGTTCTATATCCCCTTTCAGGATCTATTTGTTGTATTGAGGATAATCAGGATTTGGGGTGATGAAATACTAGTACAAACTCACACATGTACAGTTATGCCTGTATGATTGCCAATGTATTTTTGAACATTTTTTTATGACAAATAGCTTCCTGGCCTGGTCAATTAAGATTGTTTAGGACATGTTCATGCAGATACAATTGATGCAATTTGACAAATAAACTTACATGTACATAAAAGTAATAGATGTTATCCTTTGTTGTTATCCTATCCTCTTCTTTTTTAACCTTCATTATGTTATTCCTTGTTTTTCTTTCTATCATTTTCTCTTTCTGTCTTTCCTTACTTTATTCTTTGTTTTTTCTTCTTTCATCTCTCTGTCTATCTTTCTATCTATCTGTCTGTTCTTTGTGTTTTTCTTATATAATCTTATCTCATGTTATTCTTTGTTTTTATCATTCTATCATGTTCTCTTTCTATCTTTCCTTAAGTTATTCCTTGTTTTTCCTCCTATCATTTCCTAGCTTTCCTCATGTTATTCCTTGTTTTTCTTTCTATCATCTCCTCATCTATCTTTCCCTTTACTATTCATTCTGTTTATGCTCAGCCTATCTTCTTCCTACTTATCGCTCCGTTTGTTATTCTTTGTTTTCTGTCTATCATCTTCTTGTTCTATATTTCCTTATGATATTCTTTATCTTTACCTTTCTATCATCTTCGCTTTCTATCTTTCCTTGTATCATTCTTTGTTTTATCCTATTGTGTTGCTCTTTCTGTCTTTCCTCATGTTGTTCTTTGTGTTTATCATTCTATCATTTTTTTTCTCTATCTTTCCTTATATCATTCTTTGTTTTCAATTGTTATTATTTGTCCTTTCTCTGTTTCATAAATTTCCTGCCAAAACACATTTACATCCAGTTGACAAACACTTCCTGGCACGGTTTGCTTTCACATTGCACATTAGAGAGGTCTAGAAGACCACATTACAAAGTGGTCTTCTGGATCGGTCCAGAGGTACGTTTCTTGGCACGCTTGTGCTTTCACACTCACCTTTAGACAGCTTTGTATATCTTTTCCTTTTCTTTTGCTTTCCGCGTATCTCCCCTGGAGATACGCTCTTCTAACGCTCCCTATATTTCTAATTTTCTCCTATTTTCTCACGTCACAATGGTCCAACTTTTGAGCTTTGTGACGTTTCTCTATCTCTTTTTCTCTTCCTTCGCGTACTCTCACGCGCCTTTGCATCTTGACTACCAAGCGTCGCCTATATATTTTTGATTTTGTATATTGTTGTTCATGCATGAATCACTTCGATAAAGGGCTATCCCCGAAACGTCAGTGGAATACTCACTTCTCCGGTGTTTTTATTTATCTACCTTGTGTCCTATATATATATATATATATATATATATATATTACTCGTCTTGATTAAAACAAAAGATGATTTTTTTTTTTTTTACCAAGTAAAGGGAAAGAAAAATATTACTGGTAATTTAATTCAAATTTTGTACTGTTTGTGCCTTTATCTGTAAACTGATTCAAGATACTGCATTATTGTAATCCATTTGGCATTAATTTCACATTAAGTGGATAATAATATGTTGCAAATACTATAATAGTCTCAGATGGTATCATGACTTGATAATTAAAGTTCTCTTGTTCAACTAGCGAGTGACAGGTGCAATGAGCATTCAGGCATGGGGTAGATTAGGCTCACTGAAGCAAGGTACTTTCCCTTGCAGCGGGAAGCCATACTCTCTCAATCAAAACACTCCTATGGTTACAAAAATACAACACAGAGAAGGGGGAAAATACCCGATTACAAACTGAATTAAAACACTTTTTCGATCCCCTTCTCCTCTTTAGAGTTACTCATAGCACTTCACTGACTATGATTATAATGGAAGCGCATAGAACCCTGACTCCCCTGGGAGCGGCTACGTTATACGCTACCGATTAGAGACCGGCACTGATTTGTAGTCTTCCGGTTCTCGCCCCTCGTTTTCGATTACACAAGATGCCGTTGTGGGAATTGGACAAGTGTTAAGTGGGCCTTTCGCATGGAGGGTGTTTTTGTAACACTGGGTAGTCGGTTGATAGAGTCAATATAACTCTTGAACATGTACCCTACACATGTAAGTGTCTCCTGTTATGAAATTAATCTTCACATACATGTATTCTTTTTCCATCATCAATCATTTTCATCCTCCGTTTTTCTTTCTACCCTTTAGTAGTTTTTATATTTATATTATTCTATTGTTCTTCTTGGTCATCTCTATTGCATTTCCCCTCCTTAAAAGCATGATACAATGAAACATGTTGA